GTCTCCAGGTTCCGCTGACCTCCAGGTCTGAAGGTGGGTGTTGACCGATCTCACGGGATCCATTAAAATGGTCCTCTATGCATGGATTCTGCATCTATGCTCTAAAAACCATACAATTTGCGAAAATATCGTCTGTTCTTTGGAATAAAAATCCGTACGTATTTGTAAAACAACTCTCTTGTTAAAAAAAAATGAGTAGCGTGGAAGTATAAGGTAATCTAAACGTGAATTGTCCGTGTGCGCGGGCTTATTTTTTATTACACACATATATGGCAATCTCGTTCCCCGAGCATGCGCCCTGTCAACAATAATATAAAGTCAACAATTTATACATAATTTTCAGTATTAGATATTGTCTGTACTAGGGGGTGGGTAGGATCTACGTGCTAAAGGCCCCAGCAACCTCCAGGTTTTTGATCATCTGAACTTGGCAGCTCTGCAAGAGTATTTGTTCAAACGCGCTAATCGGGTGACACCCATCAAGTACGAGGTTGCCATCAGTGGTGCACCGCATGGTCAGTGTGCATGGTACATTGGTCTGTAATGCAATCATGAAGTCTGCGATGAAGTATGTATCTTTGGTTAAAGATCTAAAACCAGAACTCGAAGCAGGCAAAGCAAACGACTTTTAAGTCGGTAGTTTTTTTTTCGAAAGCCTTTAATAACATTTCGGAATCAACTTTGCAAAACATAAAAAGAAAACAACTTGAAAGAAACACCAGTCTGCACATTCGTCATACCATACCTGTTCTATACATTTTAAGCCAGAAATCGTAATAATTCATTATTTTCCCACGATCATCTTTTCGGCAACATGGCGGAACTTAGTAAAGAGCGAATTGAAAAGCGAAGAACGATTCAAGCTTCTAGTGACAGATGTTCCGCTTGATTGCGTGGACTAGTGGTAACCATTTAATAATCGACAAGTTCGATTAATTGTTGTTTAATTTAAATAGTTACCACTATACACGATGGGGATTAACTCAAGGCTTTTTGTCCACGCAATCAAAAGGAACGTTGCTCACAAAGGAGTGTTTTCGAATCGTTGTTCGAAAATATGCACTCAAATTTCAAGAAAAACGCGCTAAACATCGGTCAATATTTCATGCAATACATTATATATTAATAAAAATAGTATGTTCTCTAATCACAAATAAACATTTCCATTAATTAACAAGGCCAGAATGGTTAAATTGTTGAATGGAAAACAAACCTTTCGGGCTTATATACCCTGATTTTAGATAACAATGAGGTCCGTTTTCGCTAGATATTCGAGAAACACAGAGCAGATCTTTCCATTGATATAGAAACAAATTTGGGTCTGACATATTTGGGTCTGACATTTTTATACTGTACTCTACGATTAATGCCCATGCTGTAAAATCATACAGTAATAGGAGTATGGCTTGCCTTATTCTCTTTAGATAGCAGCATACATATTTTACACTTTGTCTTTTGAATTTTATATTTTAGCCGACAAGTTATAATACGTTTGTTTTTACTACTTTTTTTTTAATTTTCGAAAAATTAGCTTACATGTCAATCAACCTGTTATCAATGTAAATTCAGCCAATCACAATTCTCGACAGCATGATCAATTTTACTAGGGCTTTTGGGCAGGCTCTTCTTCAATTGTCTTCCCTATACTGAAGAACTGTCTAAGGCACTAGGCGCGTTAGAGCGCAATGCGAATGAATGGGTTAACCAGAACACATGGTCAGATAGGCCAGTTAACCATTAAGCACCAGCGCTCTCCCCTTGACAAATAAAATCGTTATTTGAGACCTTTAGAAATCAAGCATATTGTTAAAGTTTGGATGCCTTTTCAATTGCACATATGCTGAAACGTAGTGCGTGAAATATTGATGGGTGCATATATTAGAAAAAGAAGACCTTTAGAAATTGAAGTAACGCTTAAACAAAAGATTGTCTGCTCCTGGGAACAATCTGCCATGCATACTGTACGTAGATCGCATGTTACGCACTCGTGGGCTTAGCAAAGTGCCCCAGGATTCAAATTACACCAATGGTTGATTTCTAAAGGTCTCCTTTTTCTAATATATGCACTCCATCAATATTTCACGCACCACGGTTCAGCATATGTGCAATTGAAAAGGCATTCAAATTTTAACAATATGCTCGATTTCTAAAGGTCTCCTTTTTTTTATACACCCTGTAGAGACAGAGTAAAATAATAAAGTGGGGCATACATCAGGGCACAATGCGACTCAACAGTGGCGTAACGTTATATCTGGGGGGCCCCCGGTTCAAAATTTTCGAAGGCCCTCCCCCATAGTAGAAATGCCGAATGCACGAAGTTGAGCGCCGTATATGCACGAGTTTTCCGGAAAATTTTTGAATCTAGACTCTCTGAAATGCCATTTCCCGGACTTTGGGGAGAGATTTTACAGAATTCTGATGGTCAGAAAACGACATTGTAACATATCAGAAGCCCTGGCCAATGTATTTGCTCTACAGCCTGAGCTTGGGGGCGCCCATTTGGCCCACTACACAAACATAAATATTTCGCAGTCTAGACCGAATTTAAAAAAATCCCCCCAAGGAAATTAAAGAAGAAAGCATGCTTTATCAGAATTTCTCAGTTTTGGAGTAAAAAGTTTAATATCGAATGTTGATGTCACGGAGGGCGTAGAACAAGGTTTTCTCACTCCTTTTGTTTATGTTTCGAATTTCAGGCATTCTGATTGGTCAAGGACGCAAAATGTAAACAAACACGCTGATTGGCTAACATTATTTACCCTTGTTCATTGTAACATATCAGAGGCCCTGGCCAATGTATTTGCTCTACAGCCCGAGCCTGGGGGCCCCCGGGTTCTCCCGGTCTGAGCCCATAGTAGTTACGCCACTGCGACTCAATGGGTTGAAAAAAATTGGATGGATTAATTTTACATTTACGTTCATAAACAACAAGTTAGGAGGATTCCTTTTATTTAATTCAATTGTGCCCCGTTTAATAGGACTCAAGAAACGTGTACTTGTAATATCATATATTCATCTTTCGATCGATCACAATATACAATGTATCCATATGTTAAAGAAAAATAGCAACAAAAGTTATGTCTGCAAGCATTGCCCAAATAAAAAGACGGTTAATAATTATTTACGAACTGTCTTGAAATCCGCCACCAAAAACTCATACATATAGCTTGTGCTTTAATTTAAAATACCAACAGAAGTATACTTATACAATTTCACATTAAAATGACCTGAAAATAGCTTGACAAAATTATTTTACTCTGGTTGGGGGAACGCCATGCACAACATGTGACAATGGCATTCTAATCCAAGAAAGAGAAATGCAGAATCAATTTGCTTCAAATGAGCTTTAACAAATTTTGTAACAAAAATGACAAAGAAAATCTGTATTATGGTTTTGAAATACGGTGAATCTTTCTTCCATAAAGGAAACTAATTTTTGTTGCTTTTTCAGTATTTTCCTTTAAATTATGGATCACTTTTGTCTTCTTTTTTACTTAACACAACTTATACTTGTTCATAGTAATAATAAAAAAAGTTGTGATGGTAATGATTTTGTACTCAATCTACCTACTATCATCTGACGTTATTCCGGTTCATTATAGTAATAGTTCACCAATGTCTATTATATGGCTTGTTTCCTCTTCATCATTATCCACACGATTCCTGGCTTGTATTTGGTTGTTTTATTTCTTCATTAATGCGAGTGAGCTGCTTTAACTTGTCTCGTGCTGGAACTTTGTTGGATGGTTTTTGCTCAGACTTTGTCTCCATCTTTGATGACATCTTCTTTGTGTTTTATCGTAGGGCATAACAGCATTGTGCGACTTAAGTTCCCTTGGGCAGGAAGGTACTTCCAACTTCATTGGAAATAATTCAAAAGTACAATATACACAAAAAACAATTCAAACGGATGAACAGTATGCAAAGATCGCATACATGCGCACAGCTTTTCAATCACATACATATATTACAACCACACAAAGAGTTGCATACACTAATTGAAAGACCACATTCAACTACAGACATTGGACAATTTTACATTCACCTACAGACATTGGAAAGGTTTACATTCACCTACAGACATTGGACAATTTTACATTTAACTACAGACAGTGGACAATTTTACATTCACCTACATACATTGGAAAGGTTTACATACACCTATAGATTTGGACAATTTTACATTCACTTACAGACATTGGAAAGGTTTACATTCACCTACAGACATTGGACAATTTTACATTCACCTACAGACATTGGACAATTTTACATTCACCTACAGACATTGGAAAGGTTTACATTCACCTACAGACATTGGACAATTTTCATTCACCAAAAAACATTGGACAATTTCATATGAAATACAAAAAATCCAAAAGTAGTAATAATATATTTTATTGATCACATGTAGACCACGAAAATCAGTGCTCCTAAAGGTCACTTGGTTTTAATTTCAGACTGCGTACTTCATATTATGTCGAATTTCCCAAAACAAACATTTGATTTAGAACAATAAAAAAGGCATTAGTGCCTTTGTACCCAATGATTGCTTTTGTGCCAAACAAATACCCGCTCCCCGACTTTGGTGTTAGAAAAGAGATATTATAACCCAA